CTTATCAGTGGCGCACGAGATGCGATGACGATGTAAGTGTCGTTGCATTATAATGTTTTTGTTAGCCTATCCAGTTGAAGCCACTAGATGTGGCGCTGCTGTGTTGTTAATTACAAATATTGCGGGGAAAGAGAACATCAATGCAGAGAAGATCTTGTTTATGTCAAAACTGAAACCAAGCCGTTCACACAGAACGCATATTTCGCACATTTTCTAGAGGGACATCTATCACCGTTGCACTCGCGTCTCGCACAAGAAAACCGCATGTTTAGAAAGCCATGTAAAATTAATGCAAGTTCAACTTTGAAAAAACATCTCTCGAGACTTAATGGCGAATTAATTTTTCACAGATAGTCATGTTATCTTATGCTCGATGCACCCTCTTATGGCCTCAGGAGAAAAGCCAAAAGCTTTTCTTTACCCTAACTGAAATGATGCATTTTAAATTCGAATATAATTCGAATTTTGATAATATTTAAGCACAAAATTCGAATTTAGTTTTTCAGCCATTTTGACAGCCCTACATTGCAGTGCCTGCAGTTCGAAAAAAAGTGTTTGTATGGAAGTCTGTGAGAACAGTCTGGGCGATTCTCAGCCATAGTGAAATCGCCCCAAAAGGGGCGGTACTCCACAGAACGTGACTTGACTCTGATTGGACTATATATATCCAGAGGCAGAACAAACAGTCTAGAACAGTGACAGCTGTGGTTGAATGTCATAGAAAAGAAAATCTCTCCCTTTCGCTCTTTGGTGGTGCGTCGCCCTATCGCCCTAATGAAGAAACCGCCCCTGTAAATATAAATATATATATATATATATATATATATATATCAATAATCAAATTATTATTAGGGGCCAAGCACCGAAGGTGCAGTGGCACCTATTGTATCTGTTAGCATCATTTTTCTTCTTCCGCCTTAAGTCTATGGCAGCCCATAGAACCGCTTGCGGGAAAGTTGTGAAATTTGGCACACTGATAGAGGGCAGTCTCAACATTAACCACAGCAAGTTGAGTCTCTAACTCCAACTCTCTAGCGCCACCACTTGTCCAAAGTTGCAATTTCTTTATGCTAATAACTTTTGAAC